GAATCTTGTAAATAAACAGGGATTTCTATTCTCATATTGAATAACGTGGACTTCAAGCCAAAGTTAATCAGAAGAGACTAAGAAGGTCATTTCATGCTGCTCAAGGGAACTATACAGTAACAAGAAATAATAATCATAAATGTTTATGCTCCAAACAATGGTCAATATCAAAACTCAAATAGACCACAACACAAAAAGGTGACTTTAATACACCTCTCTTATCACTGGATAGATTTTCCGAACAAAAACAAGATGAAGACACTACAGAACTAAAAAATACAATGAATAGTTTTGACTTAATAGACATATATAGAATATTTCATCTACCAATGAATGAATATACTTTCTTTTCAGCAGCACATGGATCATTTTCTAAAATAGACCATATCTTAGGCTACAAAGCAACTCTTAATAAAGAAAATAGAGATAATACATTGCATTCTATCAGATCATAATGGAATAAAATTAGAAATCATTAAGATAAAAGTAGAAGCTACTCTAACACTTGGAAACTAAATAATATAGTATTGAATGATGAATGGATAGCAGAAGAAATCAAGGGTGAAGTAAAAAAGTCCTTAGAGATAAATGAGAATTGTGATACAACACATCAAAATCGCTGGGACACTTTGAAAGCAATTCTAAGAGGAAAGTTCACAGCATCAAGTTCATTCATTAAAGAATAGAAAGACACCAAATAAATTATCTATCATTTCATCTCAAGGCCCTAAAAAAAGAACAAATCAACACCAAAATCATCAGGAAACAGGAAATAATTAAAGTCACACCCAAAAATCAATGAATTGAAGTAGAAAATTCTAAAAAATCAACAAAACAAAAAGTCGGTTCTTTGAAAAAATAAACAGAATGAATAGACTCTTAATCAAGCTAATTAAAAGAAGGAGGGAAAAAAGTTATTAAAATACATGATGAAAAAGGAAATATCACCACAGACATACTGAAATATGCACCATAATCAAAAACTATTTTGAAAATTTATACTCTAATAAATTAGAAAATCTTGAAGACATTCACAAATTTCTAGAGATATATGACCTACCCAAGTTGAAACAGGAGGATATAGAAAATTTAAACAGATCAATTTCAAGTAGTGAAAATGAATGCACCACCAAAAGCCTACCAACAAAGAAAAGCCCAGGACCAGATGGATTCTCATCTGAGTCCTGCCAGACCTTCAAAGAAGAACTAACACCAATCCTCCTCAAATTATCCCATGAAATAGAAAAGAGACACTGTATTTAAATAAAATACAAAATAGGGCTAATGATGTGGTTCAGTAATTGAGTGCCCCTGAATTCAAGCCTCAGAACCCTACCTCCCAAATATGAACAGTCAACAAATCTATGAAAAAATGCTCATAATCTCTAGCAATTAGAGAAATGCAAATTAAAACTACACAGATTTTTACCTCACACCAATTAGAATGGCAATTATCAAGAATACACGCAAAATAAGTGTTGGTGAGGACGTGGGAAAAAGGGTACATTCAGACATTGATTGGCAAAACCACTCTGGAAAGCAGTATGGAGATTCCTCAAAAAACTAGGAATGGAATCACCATTTGACCCAGTTATCTCACTCCTTGGTATATATTCAAAGGAGTTAAAAATCAGCATACCATGGTAACACAGGTACATTGGTATTTATAGCAGCACAATTCACAATAGTTAAGCTACAGAACCAATCTAAATGCCCATCAACAGATCAATGAATAAAGAAAATGTGGGATATATATATATATATATATATATATATATATATATATATATATGAGATGGAATATTACTTGGCCATAAAGAAGAATTACTTTAGGACATTTCGACAATAAATGGATGGATCTGGAGCCTATCATGATAAGTGAAATAAGCAAATCCCAAAAAACCAAAGGTCAAAGGTTTTCTCTGATATGTGGATGTTAACACACAAATTGTAGCGAGGGAGGAAGAACAATAGTTCAGTGGATTAGGCATAAGGTTATGAAGGGAAGGGTGGAGGATAGAAATAGCAAAGACAGTGGAATGAATCTGTTATAACTTTCCTATGTACATATATGAATATACCACAGTGAATCTCAACATCCAGAAGACTGAGATCCTAATTGGAATAAGATATATTTCATGTTTGTATAAATATACGAAAATAGATTTTACTGCCATGTGTAACTAAAAAGAAGAACACTGAACCCTCCTCAAAGTCAACAGCAGGGAGGTTTGTCGAGTAGAAAGAAGGGAAAATGGAGAGAGAGGAGAGGAGGGAAGGGGGAAGTATTGGGGACTGAATTAGAGCAAATTGTATTCCATGCTTTTTTATATTTCATGCTTGTGTATACATACTACATTTCTTATGTCAAAATGAATCCTAATATTATACATAACTAAAAAGAACCAATAAGGGGAAAATGTTAAAACGGAAAAAAAAAGATGCTTAGCAGCACCTTTGTGCTACTGTTCTAAAGGTTAGGTATATGAAATACATTTTCAATTTAATAATATTTTCAACCTTTGATGGGCTTGTTGGCATATAGCCCCATTGTAATTAAATAGCATCTATATAATTTCTGCTGTACTTAGTGAAAGGAATAAGGAAAAAAAAAATTACATCTGCAACATCTTTCTGGAAGCCGAACAGCCACTATGATGCTTTGAAACATAACTTCAGACAAAAATGTGTGGCAAAGACATAGGGTAAAGTTGCAGTGCTTTTCAAACCAAGGTATCAGGAAGGCAGTCAAAACAAGCTAGACATAGGCAGTAACTGCCTTTGCAAATGCAGTATCTGTGAGCACTTTTAAATATTAAGAATTACTAAAAAAATCATAATGCTTTTGGAAACCTTCTGTGAACATTCCTTAAATTATGAATCAATATAGAACTTCTGGGAGAAGGCAACAGCCTACATGATGTAGAGATATGGAAACATTATAATTTATCCAATGATCATATTGGAGTAAAAGGAATCAAACTTTCAATACCATTCATGTTTCAAAGCCATCACCACTATGAAAAAAGAAAATTAAAAAAATGAAGTCCTGCCCAACTTAGCTCTGCCTGCTCTTCCTGAGCTCCATCTTTCTAACCTTGGGAAAATGCTGTTCACAGGAGGCAGCCTTTTGTATATAAAAAAAAAATTACAAACACACACACACACACACACACACACACACGGTCAAGAAAAAAGCCCCATAAACAATCTAGAGAAGCAAGATCAGTAGCTCATAATAAAAATGACAAAAGTGATCTGATTGGGTATAAAATTTCAAGAGGACTGGGATATAAAGAGCTGGAGAGATGAGTGATGTGTTGCTTTGTGCTGTAAACAGCTCTCTTTGGGTTGACAAAATTGGTAGGTTACTGCACTTCAGCAAGTAAATGTAGAAAATTGCAAGGCTACATTTATTGGTTGCAGGTCCATTCCAGCTAAACTGTAAAGAAACCAATAAGAGTGAAATGAAATGCTCTTGAAATTAATTAACAGTCCTATTTGTGGTGGGGTCCCAAATCTTGGAGATTGTCTGATAGTTGAAATGCGTTTTTCCTACCTTTCTCCCCACCTTTCCTTCCTTCTTTTCAGTAGATATAGGTAGAAGGTTGTGGCAGAGTGTCACAATGAAGGGAATTGTTTTTCTACTAGTTACAGATGGGTCCTTGCCCTGGAAACATGCCCAGAACCATGAGAAGCTGTGCTTAGAAGTTATTCAATTATTTGCTTTCCCTTTAGCAGTTTCTAGCTCCATGGGTGACTGGGCAAAGTTAAAAAAAAAAAAAAAAAAGACAATCCAAGTCAAATTCCTTATTTCTGCTACTTAGGTTAGAATGAATACAACCCTAGGAAAATGAATAAAAAATAAATTTGGGAGTGGGGGTGGGATGGACAACTTCGGGATTCCTATTGCCCAAGCTACATCTCACTCTCTTCTCTTTTACTACCTTTCTCCAAAAACTACAAGTCTTGTGGCTCCCAAACCTTTGGTGAAGATGTGAATCCCCGAGTTTCTTATGCACACCAAGCACCCAAAGAATAAAGAATAGATGTCTGTTTCTCTAACACGTAACATGCATTCGTATAGACTATTTTCTCGATTTTAATTTACCTTTACGTTTTGCTTACCAAATTGAGGCAGGCCGTGAAATTTTCAAATATTAAAGAAATATGACTTGGAATAGAAAGAGCAAGTTCCTGGAAATTCTGCTTCTAGAAAGAACAATTATCAAATTGGTTTCCTATTTTTCAAGTTTACTGAGAAATTATCGGGTTATACAACATCAAATCAATTTTGGAATTATTACATACACAGTAGATTTCTTTAAAAAAATTTTTTTGCAGTTGTATATGGACAGAATGCCTTTATTTTATTTGTTTATTTTTATGTGGTACTGAGGATCGAACCCAGTGCCTCACGCACTCCAGGCAAGCGCCCTGCCGCTAAGCCCCAGCCCCAGCTCCACAGTAGATTGCTTATTGTTTTTCAATAGGCACTAAAAATACAAACGCTAAATTATAAGATCCATACTTAGAAAGGCTGGAAATTTCATCTCTTGCCTAGAAATTTTTGCAGCTGTTGCGAGTCAAAGTTTGTCCTTGCCTGTAACGTAGAAACGCATAGCTACAGCTCTGGGAAGGAGGGTTTCTGGGTACAGTTGCTCTGAGGAGGCGGGAGTGAGCGCCAGACACCTCCTCCCACACAGCCTCCACGTCTTAGTAAACAAGGAGACTCACGCTTGCAGGCTGAAAACGTAGATGGAGTCTGAGGGAGGGGCCAGGGCGCGGGGCTGGGGGTGGGGGTATCTGGGAGTTCCTATTGGTCCACTCCCTGTCTATAAGGGAGTTGACAGTCTCCGCCCCCGATCCCGGGCCGCGCCTCTCGGCACCACGCTCCGCCCCTTGCGGCCGGACGCACTTCCAGATCAGTGAGAGCGCATGCGCGAGCGGCCCCACGCCGAGATCGCGCCAGCTCGCCCGCGGGGTTGCGCATTCGCGCATTCTCGCAGTCTGTGGGCTAGCTGGGAGGCGGTGGAGGTCACCGCGGGGAGGCGGGGCGGGGGCAGCATGGCAGCTTCCTTGCGGCTCCGAGGAGCCACCTCCGGCCTCCGGTACTGGAGCCACAGGCAGCGGCCGGCAGCAGCTAGCCTTGCAGCGGGTAAGGACCTCGCGCCTCTTCCCCAGGTTCTCGCCTGGCCGCCGGCTACTGGCGACCAGAGGGCTGAAGAGGTCTTTTCACCCAAGGTTGCTGCGGTTGGGTTGGGGTTTAAAAAACAAAATTTTGACTTGTTCCAAAGGCCTGGCCTCCACTGCGGTCACCCCTCCTGCCTGTAGTTCTGTCTCTTCTGCCTCAGTCCCCTCACCTGGCTCCAGATGTGCGGGGTTCAGAACTTAGGAAGGGGTGGGCAAGGACTTGGGGTGAAGGGAGGAGTATTTGGGCCCAGGACATGCTTCTTTGGAGTTTGGGCTCCGAGGACATTTGGAGGACCAAGCAGTAGGGGCGACCCCGCATTCACCCCGGCGACCCCTGCCCATCCTGACGTCCCAGGTTGCACAGTCAGTGAAAACACTCTCAGGCCCACAACGGTTTGTGTTTAACCACCGTAATTGGGAGAGATGGATGAATAACATCCCAGCATTCCAGCAAAGTTTGTCACCCTTGACTAGCAGGGTGGATTTACCCCTCTTCTGTAACTGCTGCCAGCCAAATTGAACCTTTCCAGAGTCCTTCCCCCATACAGTTAGAAGTTTTTGAACACTAACCAGGGACTTAGGAAGAGGCAGTTTTGAGAGCTACATGAAGATCCACAGAAAACTAATTCAGTCCTTCATTTTTCCCCTGAGGAACCTGAGACCCTTTTTGGATAAATAAATTAGGATCTCCCCAGCAGGATCTAAAAAGTAGTCCTTGATTCTTCTTAGTGCCTGCATTTTCTAGGACACCAGGGCTCCTCTTATATTGAAAAAATGTTGATTTGTGGGGATACTGCCCTTGTGTTTCTGTAAAATTGAGTTTTAACGATGCAGTGTTTAGTATGATCATATTCAGGATTAACAAAGCCTTACTAATGGGGTTGGGGTTGTAGCTCAGCAGTAGAGCATGCACTAGACCTTGTTTGGACCTCAATAGCCCCCATCTCCTGCCCTCCAAGAGAGGAAACTCACAAGTCTTTCATATTTCATTAGATGAGTAAGATGTATTTGCTGTTTAGTGATTTTACCAGATGTTCTAATGATATTTGAAAGAACTCTTAAAGAGTTGTGAAGGTTCTTACAATTCCTGGTAGAAGAATCTGAGGCCTAAGACTATAATACTTGTTTTTATAAATTGGAAGGGCCTACCTCACAATGCTGGTTAGACTACTTTGGCATATGATCTTTAGGTTTTTTGGCACAAAGTTGTTGTAAGAATATAGATTTATGAAAAACTTTTAAATAGTTCTTTTGTGATGAAATGTTTAAAACGGATCAACAATTGTTTTTTATTCTGTGGAATTGTTTTAAACACTCATGTTGATTTTAGTTTACTACAAAACAGTTAACTCTTTTGAGGTTCAAATCTTAAAGGATAGAAAAAAAACTTCACATGTAGATTTGGAGTTTAGGGACATTACTAAAAAGAACCATGATTAAATAGTAACATTATTTAGGGCTGGGGCTATAGCTCAGTGGTAGAGCGCTTGCCTTGCATGTGTGAGGCACTGGGTTCCATCCTCAGCACCACATATAAACCAATAAATAAAGGTATTGTGCCCCATCTACAACTAAAAAAATACTTTAAAAAATAGTAACATTATTTAGTGCTCTGAATTTTGTAGGCTATTTACCTTCATAGTGTGTTACATGTTTATAACATAAGGATGGCAATGTTCTAAGGATCCATATAATTTATTATTAAAAAAACATAAAAGTTATCAGTTAATACCACACCTTAATTTTGAAATTTAGATGATTTTTGTTGGCATTTTAGACTACGAAGAAATGGATAACTTTGGATCATGTTACATTTGAGAGATCAAAATCTGTAAACTTGCATCTTTAAATTTAGAAACTAATGTTGCCAAATTTTCTAGCTAGTTTACCAGTTGATCAATGAATATCACCTTTTTATTATGTTGTCTGATTTTTTTTTTTTTACTCCAGCTTTATATATCTGCAGTCTAACTTTGCTATTTCCACATACTACTGTCAGGACTTACTTAAAGGAAGATGTATTCTTTAGGTTTGAAAATTTTTAGGGTAATCATAATGCCATTATATTCCTTTGGATTTCTGCCCTTTTGGGAGCAAATTCTTCTTTATTTGCCAAACACTCCTTTTCTTGCTTAATTTTCGCTAAATGTTGTCTTTTCCCATATATGGTTCATTATCTAAATGCATCTATACGTTCTTTATTCTCTCTGTTTCTTTCTTCTAACCCACTGGGCAAGCAAAAAGGGGCATTTGGCATAGGACTTGTCCCATAGTGCTACTTCATGATTATTGTTAATAAAAGGAACTAATATTTATTGACTATCGTGTGCTAAACATTGCTTAATGCTTTAAATACATTATCTCAAGTAACCTTTATAATCATTTTCTCATGTAGGTGCTCTTGTTGATAGACAGTAGACACTCTTGTTGATTTTAAATATTATCACCATCAATAAACAACTTCTCTTTTGATATCAGCTCAGCTAGTTATATTACCACCCTTTAAAGATAACTGAGTCTATCATTGAAAGCATCATCTTCATTGGTATTCATGTTGGCTCATCAACATGGGCCTTATTGTTCTTGATGGCCTCAACCTCAGCAACATCAGCATTCTACTTCAGTTCTTCTAGGTCTTATCACAGAATTTGGCAGAATTTTTCTTGCTAGGATTACACAAGAACCAGTCATCTGATTGATTTAACTCTATGATTCTCATTCTGTTAACCAACCAGCATCATTATTACACCTTGTCTTTGACTCCTCCTTGTCACCCTCTAATACATGGACACACTTTTTCGTCTTATTTCATTAAGTACCTTTCTAGATTTATATCCAACCTCAAACTTATTTATAATTAGCAGTTTCACTGATGCCTTTGATAGTATCCTAATATTTTTTTCAGTCTTCTGCTTTAGTTCTGGGTAATATCCATTGCCTTTGGTTTGTGCCATCCCTCTGGTTGCCACCTCGGTAGTGATATGGAGAGTCACAGAAGTTTGCTGATTGAATGCAATGCTTTGTCTTGTTCATTTATTGTTACATTTTCAGATTTCCCACAGCTTTGACTTAGGGCTGGCAGCCCCTGAACCAGACATTTGGCAGAAATGGCATTACCATGTACTGGTTTAGGCAGTTTGGAACCTGACCCTGAACTTGGGAGTCAACCTGCAATATGTAATGGTTGCTGCAATGGTTTACCTTTGCTGGATCCACTTTGTCACCTTAGTTTCTCTGTAATTGTGATAGGACTGGCTTTTATCCCCATAAACACTTTGATGAAACCTTTCTGGTTAGTAGTTATTTATTCACATACTGCTTATTCAGCACTCATTGTATGCCAGTTCATTTTCTTGTGAAAGTAGTTATAAAAGTTATGTATATGTGATAAAAACTCAAAAGGATATAAAAAGTCAGAATCTTTTCTTCAAATCTGATCCATTACTCTAACTCTCCAGGTGTAACTGCAATTTATTATATATCTATATAGAAAACCAGAAAAATAAGAATACTATATATTATTTATAAAGTTTTGCATCTTGCTTCCCACCCCCCCACTCAATAACTTGTCTTGGAGATTTTCCCTATGCTTTTAGATATATATATATCATATTCTTTTAAATATTGGTATAATTTACATTGCATTTAATATAAATTATCAAGTATCCTTTTAATGCATATTATGAATTAAGTGGCCTATTTGCAGTTATTTAATTATTTGTGGGTTTTCTGTTGTAACAAACAGTTCTACAATAAACTATATATTTGTTATTCAGAATTTAGTGTATAATAACCTGTTTTTGTAAATAAAGTTTATAAAACTTTAAAGTTTTATAAATAAAGTTGTATCAGAACACAGGCACACCCAGTTATATTTGTATTGCCTATAGCTGCTTTCAAACTAGAATGGATGAGTAGTACAGTTGTGACACAAGCCTTATGGCTTGCAAAGCTAAAAATAATTTACTATTTGACTCTCTCCTTCTTATGAATGTCTTTTATAGTTTTTTTTCCAAATCAGGATTTACTCAGGTTTCATACATCACATTTGATTGATATATTACTTTCTTTATATTATTTAAAATTGAGAACTCTAATGTTTTTATAATGTTCTAAGTGTATGATGTTGATGTTTTAAAAACAGCTATTTGCAATGTAGTTGATGTACAATAAACCACATCTATTTAAACTCTACAATTTGGTAAGTTTGATGTCTAGGTACCTGAGAAACCATCATCACAGTCAAGATAGTGAATGCATCTGGTACCACTGCCTTAAATTTCCTTGTGCATCTTTGTATATATAAATAAGAATATTTGTATATTTTTACTGGTTTCAGATTTCTAGCTTGACAGTTTTTTCCCCCTCAATATTTTAAAGATGTTGCTCCAGTTGTATATTTCTGATAAGAAATCTGCTTCCATGCTTTCCCTCTGGCTGCTTTTAGCATTTTGATTCTGATGTGTCTTGGCATAGTTTTCTTATTTGTTGTATTGGGATTCATTAAGCTTCTTGGAGGCATGGAGTTTATAGTTTTTAACAAATTTGGAAGAGTTTTGGCCAGTGGGTCTTCCCATAATGCCATTAGTTCTTCCCATAGTATTCTTTCTTCACTTTTCTATTTTGAGGACTCCCATTGCATATGCATTTGGCTGGTTAAACTGTCTCAGCTCATTAATGCTCTTCTCATTTTTAGAATTTTTTTTTTCTCTGTTTTGCTTTGGGTAGTTTCTTTTGCTGTGCCAGTGAAGTTATTGATCTTTTCTTCCACAGTATGTATTCTGCTGCTAATCTTCCAGTGTAATTTTCATCTTACACATTGAAGATTTCATCTCAATTAATTTACATTTGGATTTTTAAAACTATCTTCCATATCTCTACTTTTGAAATGTTTGGACCACAGTTATAATAATTTTTAATTCTAACATCTGTGTCATTTTCATGGTTGGTTTTATCTTTTTGACTTCTAAGTGTATTTATTCCCTGAACTTCAAAGAAGTTCAACCTTTGGGCTTCAGCCTCTTTGTTCTTGTTTAGTTTGCTGACTCTCACAATTTCAACTCTAATTTTGAAATAGATGGTCAACAGATCTTCCCCTCTCTTTCTCTCTGTCTCTGTCTGTCTCTCTCTTTTCTCATCCTTACTATGGGAACTTTTCTTGTCCTAACCCACAGCCTTGGTTATAATGTTTCTAAGTTTGCTGGACATCTTTGACCTCAGGACAGCTCATAGTTACCCTATTTAAAACTAAGCCAACTCTCCTTTTTTATTTCTCTACCTAGGGTATTGATACTACTATTCTTTTAGTGTCATTTTTGGCCTTTGCCTTGTTTCAGCCCATAATCCAATTTGTTACTTTTTTTTAGGTCTGTCTTTGAATAATTTTTCCTATTTGTCTTTCCCCATAGTTACTACCTGTTAGCTGTCTTTTATGGACAGAATGTTTGTATATCTTCAAGATTCATAGATTGGAATTCATACCTTTAAGGTGATGGATTTGAAGGGTGGGACCTTTGGGAGGGAATTAGGTCATAAAATTAGAGCTTATATAATCAGAGACATGAGCTCGTGTCCTTTCTTTTTCTGCCTTGTGAGAATACAAAGAGAGAATGGCCATTTGCAAACCAAGACACTTGTTCTGGCATCTTTCTTTCTTTCTTTCTTTTTTTAAAGAGAGAGAGAGAGAGAATTTTTAATATTTATTTTTTAGTTTTTGGCAGACACAACATCTTTGTTTGTATGTGGTGCTGAGGATCGAACCCGGGCCACACGCATGCCAGGCGAGCGTGCTATCACTTGAGCCACATCCCCAGCCCTCTGGCTTCTTTCTTACCTTCATTTTGGACTTTCCTTCAGAACTATTGTTTAAGCCACAACAGCCTGAATATTTGTTGTAGCAGCCTGAACTAAGATCTAGAGGATTTCTATTACTTTTATATTGGTCTTCTTGAATTCAGACTCTTTCCTCCAGTTCATCTATTGTATAATGCTGCCTCATTTCTCTTTCTAAAGCATAAGTGTGATCATATCATTTCTTTATCCCACCCTTCAATAACTATCTCTTGCCTCCAAAATGCAGTCACATTGTTTAGCATGCTTTAGTCTTCCATATTATGGTCACATTATTTCTTCTAATTTAAATCTACTGTTTCATTTCTTTGGGAATGCCATAGGAAGAATGGAGGACAGTGTCATACAATTGAAGAATCTAGTCATACTGACCTCATTTGAATATTGATGTTACAATTTAATAAATTCTTAGGTATTTACTGAAAGATGATAGTGTATAATGACAATGTTATCTATAAAGTTTTCAGTGTCTGGCATGTAGTAAATTTGCAATAAACATTAATGATTACTGTTAGCATTCACTTCTGGCTTTCCTAGTTCCTTGCATATGCTCATGTTCTTTTTCTCTGACATTTACTTCCTTTCTGTTCTCCCTATTTGAAATATTACCTATTCTAGAATACCCAGGTCAAATGCTTCCTTCTTCAAGTTTCCCAGATCATGAATTTTCCTTCTCTTTTAGTAGTATTTTTAAACAATATTTTATCCCGACTGTCTTATATTAGTATTAGATTGCATAGTGTACATCATCTTGGATTTTAAGGCTGTTAAAGGCAAGAACTGTGTTTCATTAGTGTCTTCCATGTCATCTGGCGTGGGACATGTGCATAGTTGCTTAATATTTTTTGAGTATGGGAAAGATTTACGATTTGTCCTTGTCATACTGACATGTTTGACCTAAAACAGTTGCCTGCTAAATTAATGGCCTTTAAAATATAGTCGTCTTAGTTTCTAATGTTTTTAGATTTTTTTTTTTTTTAGTTGTCAGTGGACTTTATTTATATGTGGTGCGGAGAATTGAACCCAGTGCCTCACACTTCCTAAGGCAAGCGCTGTACCACTGAGCCACATCCCCAGCCCTAGATTTTTAAATTATACCTTTCCAGGGGCTGGGGTTGTGGCTCATTGGTAGTGTGCTCATCTAGCATGCATGAGGCACTGGTTTGATCCTCAACACCACATAAAAATAAAATGAAAATATTGTGTCAACCTAAAATTAAAAAATAAATATTAAAAAATGTAAAAATTATCAAATAGAATAGAATTTTTTTAAATTATACCTTTCCAACCTTAACACGATAGTCTGGAATAATAGGACTAAATTTTCTCTCAGGCCATTTTTGTCAGTGTGCTTATGAGCATCAGAATCCTTTTACAAGCCAAGTGCAGTGGTCTACACCTGTAATCCCAGCGATTCTGGAGGCTTAGGTAGGAGGATCATGAGTTCAAAGCCAGCCTCAGCAATTTAGTGAGGCACTGAGCAACCTACTGAGACCCTGTCTCTAAATAAAAATATAAAAAAGGGCTTAGGATGGCTCAGTGGTTAAGCACCCCTGGGTTCATTCCCTGGTACAAAAGAATAATAATAATCCTCTTATAATGTATGCCTCTCATTCTGTTTAATTTCAAAATAAAATTTATTTTTAGATAAGTGTCATTTCTTTGTCATTGAACCCCTGTGGCCAGAAAATCAGGCAGAGGGATCCTGTTTTTACTCAGCATGTAAACTTAGCACTAGTAATGGTGATCTTGCTTGATCTTACTTGACACTCACATTTAATAAAAGTGGTAGAGACAATAATCAAATTAAAATGATTTAAATATGCTTCTAACCCAATAAGGCCCCTATTTCTTAAGCATTAGAGCTTCAAATAATTTACTTTTAGAAAAATGTCATATTCAGATTAAGTTCAAGGAAGAGCAGGAATCAATAATTTGAGAGGATCTGTAACATGAGAGGGTGACTGATTAGTTGTTGTACTAAACAATTTTGAAACTGGAGTCTTTCAAAGAAAAAATGAAAAGAAAACTGGCAAATGAGAGGGCAAGTGGAATTATTTCTCTTTCTTCCTTCCTTTGATGGAGCTTTTCCAGGGCAAGGACCCCACCTTGCTTTGTCTGCTCCAGAGCTCCTCAGTACTTCATATGCAATGAATATTTGTTGAGTGGTGTTGGTTGAGTGGAGTTCTAAAGACTAAGACGTTGTATCTAATGTTATTTTTGTGGTAGGATAAAACTTTTTTTTACTCTAAAACTTTACTTTGAATAATGTGCCCCCAGTGTAATTTTATGAGAAACAAAAACCAGTCTTGTATATAGTTAAAGAGCCCCCCTTCCCTCCCTCCTCCTTCCCTTGCCACCCTCCTTCCCTCCCTTCATTTTCTTGCCACCTCTGGAAATCCCTCTTTTCTGAAGGTGCAAAGTTGTTGAGCCCAGGTCCTGATATTGTTACCTTTGCTATTTAAAGCCCATGGAAGCATTTACCTCGCCTCCTTTCTCCTCCCCTCCCCTAGGACCACTTTTGTAAAGTAGTAACTTTGGTTGAAATATATTCTCCTAGATTTAACATTATATTAAGATTTTTTTTTTCTTTTTAAATTTTGGTTATTGAACATATGGTCTTGGCTTGTTAAGCATATGTTTTACCACTAAGCTACACCTCCAACCTAAGATCTGTCCTAGGTGTAGGCCTTACCCATATCATTACCGGAGATAATTAGATATAAGGAACTAAAATGCTTTACGTTGTGGGTAACTGACAAGAGGAGATTTACAAATGATAGCATTTTTAAATTTATTGTTCAAAATGGCAAAAAGATGTTATAGAGGTAGAAAATAGAAAAGATTGCTTAAATTTTGTGAATGTTTCATGGAGAACTAAATAATTAGAAGTAAAATTTGCTTGCACATTGTTGATGCCTTTAAATGGGGTTAGGTTATTATTTTTAAACTACTCTTTTAGAAGTGTCTTTTATAGTAAACATAAATGACAACTGACTTATAAATACTGAAAGAATGTTTACAATGAAAAATGTTATCTGCCCCTATTGAAAGTAATATATTGAAATCAGTGTGTTCTAGGTCAATGGCTTCTAAGACTCCAGTTGGATTCATTGGACTGGGCAACATGGGGAATCCAATGGCAAAAAACCTCATGAAACATGGTTATCCGCTCATTATTTATGATGTATTCCCTGATGCATGCAAAGAGTTTCAAGAGGCAGGTGAACAGGTAAGGTCTTTTTTGCATATTGTTTTAGATTTTGATAATTAAAAATGAATGTATGCCAGGTACAGTGGCTCACACCTGTAATCCAGCAACTTGCAAGGTGGAGGCAGGAGTATTGCATGTTCAAGACCAGCCTCAGTAACTATCTCAAAATAAAAAGTAAAAAAAGAACTGGGGATGTAGCTCAGTGGTAAAGCACCCCTGGGTTTAATCCCCAGTATTAAAATAAAACCAAAAACCAGAATGTACATTCAAATAAGTGACATCTTCTTGGAAGTATACCCAGTGAAGTTGTAAACCTAATTCATTGTTAACTTTATTTCATTAGCTATTTAACATTTTTTCAGGATCCAGATATACAAGAAAGGAGCACTTCCATTAGCTACTTGGGGGAAGAGGGTCTATCTGTCCTTTAATAGGTGACCTGGAACATTTCCCAAATTTGGTCAGAGGGTTTTGTTTTGCCCTACTAGTTTCCCGAAGTAGTAACTTTATTGATTATGCTGTTAAAGCAGTTCATTTAGTGGAAATAGCCTTCCAAGTTAGTGAAAGACAGGCAAAATTGTCTTAGAATGGTCTTAGAGATACAAAACTTATCTTGAGTCCTGGATCAGATAGTTACATGCTGTCTTAATGGTGGCAAGTTACTTACGTCTGATGGTTTCCTCATTTGTAAAATGTGCATGATGAAAACCTATGTCATTAGACTGTGAAACTCCAATGAGAGAATATATGTGAATATATTTTGTAAATACTTTATGATAGCACTTTGTGAATACCTTTTAGCTATTGGCTATAAACCTGGAGATGACCTAAAAACACTGTGTGTTATAGTGAAGAGTTGAGTTATAAAAGATCTCTAGAGTGTTGTTTTAGGAGGCTACCATTTGTGTTTCAAGAATTTGGAGATTGGAGTTTATCATGTTGAATGATAGCATCTGTTGGTTAAGTCTTGTATATTGTTTGGATTTATTGAACTTTATTAGTAACTCAGATGACAAAAGACCATGTGTTAGTATCTGAATTTAGAGTTTTGATTTTTTTAGATACGGAGCAAGTTGTAGAGTGGTAATGGAAGGTAGAATGTGATCCCAGAACTAGGAAAAATCTATAAACCTCCTGAGAACTATAGAAAAAGATGAGAGAAAAATAAAATTTAGCTGGGTGCAGTGGTGCACACCTGTAATCCCAAGGGCTTGGGAGGCTGAGGCAGGAGGATCATGAGTTCAAAGTCATTTTCATCAACCTAGTGAGACTCTGTCTCTAAATAAAATATAAAAAAGGGCTAGGGATGTGGCTCAGTGGTCAAGTGTCCCTGGTTCAATGCCTGTTACCAAAAATAAATAAATAAAAACAAAATTTAACAGTCAACTTCTGGATGATAGACTTGAAAGTAAATACTGTGAAATGCAATGCCCAGATAAAGGACAGATTTAGGTAACTTAGAATCCATTTGCATAACTGGACATCCTGTATATTCTTCCTCCCATGGTTGTAAGCTGTCTGGAAATGGCAGCAGTCTGGTATGAGAATGTCAGTGTGATCTTGGAACTTGTTAGTAACATTGAAGCTTACTTACGCCCATGTAGTCTGTGATAACCGACCCTGTCCTCCTAGTGCAATAGGCTTGTAGATGACCTGAAGTAACTTAGAAACTTAGTAACCTTGTTTGAAAGAGTTGATCAAAAATTTTGCTAGAAAATCTGGAAAAGTGGCCTTTTACCATCTTCAGATATGGTAAACATTTTAAGCTGTTATTCAGTCTGAGATGAATCAATTAGCAGTTATTTTGAAGAGATAGATTTTACTTTTAGAAATAACACATCTGTGGTGTTGTCATTTTATAATGGTTTATATATTTGTAAGAGTAGCAGTGCTACTCAGTCTCTAAACTGAGGAAATATCTTCAATTAAATTCAGAATTTAACTAAAGAGAAAGATACCTGGACTGGCAAAGCAGAAGCTCATGGCCTTTTAAGTTATTATTATTGCTCTTACTTTTCCCTTTATGCCTATAGCCTTTAGACCTTACCTATGGAATAACTAAAATGATTGTCACTACTTTGTGAATCTTTTCTGCTTCTTCCTAGATTCCAGATATTTCTGATGCTCTGCCTGAATTATCTCATATTCCGAAGTTATCCCCTTATCTCCATTTCCCAACAAAATTCTTGTTCTTTGTTAATTTTAGGTAGGTATGAGGCAAGCCTACTTTAAGAATAAGGCTTATCCGTGATTATAGGAAATATTTACAATAAAAGGGAAAGGAAAAACTCTAATATTTAGTGAGCACCTCTTGTGTGTCAGGTCTTTTTCCAACTATTTTTTATCTTTGTAACATTTTATCTTATCTCATTTTATCATTTTATTATCAGGAAACTCATTTGTGGGGAAATTAAATAATATCCCAAGGTATACAGTGGGTGAATAGCAAGAGCCAGGATCTAAACAAAGATTTGTCTTTGACTTCAGAGCTTTGGCTCTTAATTACATGGTGCATAGTCACTAAATAGTGAAATTAATGTATCAGATATTTTGGAACATCTTCCTTGATTCTGAAATAAAGCAGCTTGTTATCTATTTATAAACTAGGGTTCTGAAAAATAAAGTGCCTAGATGCTTTTTGAATACGTAGTCTCAGGTCACTGATCATATATCCCCTGTCCCATTCTCTCTTTAATGTGTGGTTCTGTACTCTTGGAGTTTGTTGGAATTAATTAATAATTATCCATTATAATGGGTTGTTAAGTGGGTATACAGAGGTTAAGTATATCTTAATAGAAGACACAGGAGTAATTATTCATGATCTTGGATTTGGCAAAGAATTTTTAGATCTGACAGCAAGAATATGAGTAATAGGGGCTAGGGATGTGGCTTAAGCGGTAGCGCGCTCGCCTGGCATGCGTGCGGCCCGGGTTTGATCCTCAGCACCACATACAAACAAAGATGTTGTGACCGCCGATAACTAAAAAATAAATATTAAAAAAAAAATTCTCTCTCTCTCTCTCTCTTCCTCCCCCTCCCCCTCTCACTCTCTTTAAAAAAAAAAAAAGAATATGAGCAATAAAATTAAAAACAGATAAATTGTACTGCATCAAAGTAAAAACTTGTGCTCTAAAGAACACCATCAAGCAAGTGAAAAGGCAATCCACAGAATCTGATAAATATTTATATCTGATATGGGACTTATATCTTGAATATATAAAGAAGTTGTTTTAGTTGCCTTTTCATTGCTATGAACAAAAGACCTGAAAAGAACAACTTAGAGGAGGAAAGGTTTATTTTGGCTTATGGTTTTAGAGATTCAGTTTATGGTTGATTGAATGCATAGCTCTGGAGCCAAGGAGAGGCAGAACATCAAGGTGAAAGGGCACGATGGAGGAAAGCAGCTCAGGACATGGCAACCTGGAAGGAGAGAGAGCTCTGCTTACCAAGGATAATATATAAACTCTAAAGGCACACCCCCAGTAACTTATTTCCTCTAGCTTCACCCTACATACCTATAGTTACTGCCCAGTTAATCCACTCTCAGTTGTGGCCAGCAAGCTTTTATAATCCAATCATTTCACCCCTGAAAATTTTTGCATTGTTTCTCACACATGAGCTTTTGGGGGACTCTTCATATGGTTTAGATAAACCATAACAGAAGTCTTATAACCCAAACATAAAAGGCAGGTAATTAAATGGGCAAAAGATCTGAAGAAGTGTTTCTTCAAGGAAGTTATACAAATGGCCAGTAAACACACAAAAAGATCCTCAACATCATTAGTCATCAGAGAAGTGCAGTCAAAACCACGAGGTATGCATACTAGGATGGCTAGAATAAAAACATTAGAGAACAGCAAGTTTTGGTGAGGATGTGAAGAAATTAGAACCCTCATAGAATGTAAAATGGTATAGCTACTTAGTAGGAGTTCCTAAGAAAACTAAGTATAGAGTTATGATATGATCTAGCAATTCTACTCATAGGTATATGCACAAGAGAAGTGAAAACTTGTATCCACACAGAAACTTCTGTATAACAGCATTATTCATAACAGCCAAAAGATAGCAGCAACCCAAATGTACAGCAATAGATGAATGGTTAAAAAAAATGTATTATGTCTATATGATGGAATATTATTCAATAATTAAAAGGAATGATGTACTCATATTTGCTACAATATAGAACTCTGAAAACATGCTAAATCAAAGAAGCCAGTTTCAAGGACCAGATTCTGTACAAGTCCATTTATATAGAAGTCTAGAATAAGAAAATCTATAGAGATAGAAAGTACCCTGTTGCTTAGTGCTGGGGATGAGGTGGAGGTGGACACAGAGGAGTGATAGCTAATGGGTATAGAGTTTCTTCTTGAAAATGTTCTGAAATCGACTGTGGTGATGGTAGCACATACCTGTGACTATACCAAAAGGCTTCAAATTATACATTTTAAATGGACAAACTGTATGGTATGTGAATTATATCTCAATAAAGTCACTTAAAAACTGAGGTCTTGAGGTATAGCTCATTGGTGGAGTATGTGTTTAGCATGTGTAAGGACCTGGATCAATCCCCAGCATGACCTTAAAAAAAAAAAAAAAAAATCCAAGTCCTAACTCCTGGTACCTATGAATGTGACTTTTTTAGAAACAGGGTATTTGAAGATAAAAATTAAGGATCTTGAGATGAGATCATCCTGGATTTATGGTGGGCTCTAAAACCAGTCACAAGTGTCCTTCCAATAGACAGGAAAGAAGACATAAAGACCCAGAGACAAATGCCATGTGAAGATGGAAGTGGACTTTAGAGTTATGCTACTGCAAGCTGAGCTATTCCATGAGCCACCTGAAGCTGGAAGAGGCAAAGAAGATCCCTCCCCTAGAGACTTTGGAGGTAGTGAGGACCTGCTGACACCTTGATTTTAGACTTTGGTCTTCTGAGCTGTGAGAGAGTAAATTTCTGTTTCAAGCCACCATGCTTATAGTAATTTGTTGTGGCAACCAAGGGAAACTGATACAGCAAA